TTGTCTCGTCTTGTCTTGTTTCCTCTTCCTTCTCAATACGGTTATACACGTTTCTTTCCATATCTCTTTCAAAGAGTTCCAGTGTTACTCCACACAGGTTTCCTCGGGGATGTTGCTCAATATCTCTCATTTTGTCTTGATAGCTGACGTGAAGATGTCCTTTGTAGTTTCGTCTTTCAGTTTCTGTGTGTTGTACTTGAACTGCGGACTGTCACCAACTTCTCTGAATGCTTTCATCTTGATTTTGAAGGTAGCTCCTTGGCACTAGATAGTGAGTGGTGTGAACCACCTACATCTCCTCCCCTTCTTCATCTGACCTTGTATCCAGTAGGCTGCATCTTCACTTCTTCACATTCAGATGAAGTCCATCTGAATTTCAGTGTATCCTGGTGTCTGGTGAAGTCAATGTCGCTGCCTTTTGAATATCTTCGTTTTTGTACACACTGCCTCGCCTCGTCTCCAATCAACAAATCATTGTATGCACAGAAATCTCCAAACAGTTCTCCATTCTCATTCATCATTTCACCCAACGCTTATCGACCATGATCAGTTCTCATCCTGTGTTGTCCCCACTCAGCTTGGCTGGCATTCATATCACCCCACCCGTCAGAATTTTGATGTTGCCAACTGGAGTCTTGTCTAGTGGTGATTGCAGTTGTCGATAGAATTCCTCCTTCTTCTCTTCATCAGCATTATTTGTTGGTGTGTAGCATTGGCATTGTATGATTGTGACTTTCCTTCCTTTTGAGGAGTTGAGTCTTGCTGTCATGGTCCTGCAGGAGACTGACTGCTTCCCACTGAACAAGAGCCTTCGATGCTGTTGGGGACATCATGATAGCCACTCCATAACTCAGTGTGCTGGTGGTTGTCGTCTGGGTGACAATATTGGAGTAGATTATTGACTCTGCAGTTGACAGTTTGGAGAGTCCACTCCCATTCCATCTGCTTTCGCAGGTTCCAAGCACTTTTTCATGTCATGTCTCCTCATCTCTCCCGCAATGTGGGCAGCCTCGGTGCAGACATTCCATGTCCCCATCCCTACTTTCGCTTTCATCTAGAGAAGAGAACGCACATCGACCGACTGGCTTCCCGATGGTTTTCACCAACCGCCATCATTTCATCTCTCCGATTCCAGCTAGGAATAAGTTTGTTTTTATGTTTTATACTTGGTTTGTGCTGTGAAGTATCTTCAGCGATTGGATTGGTTTTTCTGGGGTAGGGTTGCTAGCCCTATGCCCAACCTTCCCTGTTTACCCGGGCTTAGGACTGGCTAGTAACTAATGAACTAGGTAACTACTATCCATCTTCAATATTATTGTTGATTATAACGTTCATTTTGTACTGGGTACTCATGAAAGTTTAGTAGTGCTGGAATAATATTGACTATTTGACTTCAATCCGCCAGACATAGACGGACAGACGAATAAATGGAGAATCTAGTACAGAAGTGTATCGGTTCAGGTTAAATAATGAATCATTCGAATTACCTCATTAAATTTTATTGAGTCATGACTGGTCAGTTGAAATCGGAGGCATCAGTTTGGTTTTTGAAAATCACTGTAAAAGCCAAGTACTTATCTAGCAGTATACTGAACTACTTAAGTCTCAGCGATAAAAACCACCACCATAAGGTGACTTAGATTGAAAAATATAGCCTTAAATTAAGGGATCAAGTAGAAATACACTCAAATTTGCTCATTTCTTGCACTATTCCAATGGAATAATGGTCACTAGTGTCAGTCAGGTCACAATAAGTTTATTGGCATTATACAGGATAAAGGCAGTGTCAAAATCCATTGATTTTTATCATCTTTTCAAATGATTATAAAATTCCCATTATAATTTACAGGCCATCTGAGGGAACCAAGAATATCCCTTTTGACAAATTCTTCTTCAGGTTCTACAGTTAGATGTACATAAAGAGGAGTTATGCATCAATAATATTGAGATTTCAGTCATCAGTTTGTCAATGGCATTAAACTGTTGAATAAGTCAATTCAGAAGAGTCTTGTGGATACGTCAATTATAGAATCATTCGTTACTGGGATTCAATTGAAAATAAGTGATTATCTAAATGATTATACTGCTTGTATAACACTATAAGATGGTAGTTTAATAAAGCAATAAGAAGGTATTTATGATGCCTGAATAAAGTAAATTAAGAAAGATAATTTGAGGGATAGTAGTTTGATAGAATGTTACTCGAATCGGGCGACGTAGTTGTAGCGGCAATACATGCTTCTTCTAAACACAGTGGTGACACTGAAACTCAAAGATGAATTGCCTAAACTGACTACTTCCTAGGGTGTTTCGCAGTTAAACTTCTCCTATGGAGTCATTTACATCCGCCGCTGCTCTATGAACTTAATTTTCCATGCTTGCGACCACCTACCAGACTGGCGAATACCATTACCAGCTCCATAGTAGCAAACTTAGTTGAAACGAACCATAAGATGGATATGAATAAGTCGTTTTCCATTCTATTCCCATCGACTTGCCAAAAGCACCTGACTCCGAAGCCGTCAGACTACAGAAGGAGTAGCAATCAGGATCAAGCAATCGGATTTATGCGTTTAGAAAAGGCAAGTTTTACCACCGCAGATGCTGTCACCGGATTCGGAATGCACAAATTCAGTCACATCCCATCCTAAGTAATCTTAGCTTCTAATTCTATACTGTACATATCCCTTCATCCCAATAATCTGAAACAATTCTAACAAATTCTTTTAACCTATTTTGTCCCCCAACATGAGTAACATTCTATCAAACTACTATCCCTCAAATTATCTTTCTTAGTTTACTTCATTCAGGCATCATAAATACCTTCTTATTGCTTTATTAAACTACCATCTTATAGTGTTATACAAGCAGTATAATCATTTAGATAATCACTTATTTTCAATTGAATCCCAGTAACGAATGATTCTATAATTGACGTATCCACAAGACTCTTCTGAATTGACTTATTCAACAGTTTAATGCCATTGACAAACTGATGACTGAAATCTCAATATTATTGATGCATAACTCCTCTTTATGTACATCTAACTGTAGAACCTGAAGAAGAATTTGTCAAAAGGGATATTCTTGGTTCATTCAAATGGCTTTTAATTTTTAACAGCTTGTTTCACGATAAAATTTAGTTTTCTGTGTCCTTTAGTTAACATGAACTTTGGATTTGATCACATGGTTTTCATGTGTCTTATATTCCCATTGTCCACTCTCAGAACATTATGGTTACAAGAATTCTATTACACCTCCTACACTTGCATAAATGCGGAATTGATAACTGGTTTAATGAGACTAAGTGCTGCAATTATTTTCGTATAATGGAGTGTATTGTGTTTATATTGTCTGACACCCGGTTATTATCTATTGATAATGTATTTCTGTTTGGAAAACTTGGATGATTGAAACTGATTTGGTGTTTTCCCATTCATATCCTCTTCCTCTTAGCAATAGGTTCATTTACGACTCTTCACTATAGTTTGCATGTTAGATGTAGGTAAGCATCATTCTCGACCTTGAGATTTATTTGACCAAACCCTTTCAAATTGGCATTTTTCTGTTGGAAGCATGTTTCCTCACCCAACTGATATGAGTGACTATAAATTCTATCCACTCATGTTTTATGAAAAGTTTGAATAGTGCAGGAAACATATCGAGGCTACTTCAAAAGAACAAATTTTATTCACTTTATGCCGTTTTTCAATAAACCGACTATACAAAAACCTGTAGAAAAGTTTCGAAGGAAACCGAATAACTAAGCCTGATTTAGGTAACGAGGAATGAATTAAATACTTCTGTTATCTGTCTCTAAACGTTACCGAAGTTAGAAATGACCATTTTCAGATAGGTAAAAATGAATAAAGTCACATGTTTTTACGGTTTTAGGATTGTATCACACCTGGGTAACCGAAATTTACAGTGTTTGCTTGTTGTTTTGAAACTGCTTACGGTTGAATCCTGTGGGTAATTTCGAATGCGCAGCTTGTAGCATACGTCATTTTATTTTGCAAATATCGCGCTCATTGTGATATTCTAGTTCATCAGGAGGACTGTGTAAGATTCCTGCAACTTGTAAGGCACATATCATAGTTTCATAAGACTCACAATCCACTTATAGTCAACACCCATTTCATTAGTGTGAAAGATTGTTTTTTGGTAATTTTGTCTCTCAAATCTACAACGTTAACTTTTCGTCTTCGGATTTTACTACTCATAAGTAGTTAAACGCGGTTTTATACAAGTTGTTCACTTCATTGAATAATTTTCTTAGGTAAGGAATGTTTGAGAGAGTTACTACCATCAAGTTGTTGCGCGTGCTCAGCTGAACTAAGTGTACGGGTTAATTACCAACTGAATAAATGGTGATCAGCATTCAACTAGTTAACCACTAAGGCTTCTGGTCACACTGTCCAACTTTGAAGTTAATTGTACCTTATCATTGATACTGGGTGGTGATTAAAGGATTGAAACCAGCTACCGCCCGAGTTCCCGACCTGGTTCTCTGCCAAATGAGCCACGAGACTTGACCGATGACTAGGTCCTAATCTTACTCCAGTCACTCAGGGTTTTGCTGGTCAGCAGTCAGGTCTCGTAGCTCAGTTGATTGAGAAATAGGCCAAAGACCTAGTGGTAGCTGCTTCAAATCCTGCTGTACAGTAAATTTTCATTCCACCTTCAGTTACCAAACAGTATCAATGCAAATCTGCAAACTATAGCCATCAAAATGGTCAAAGTGATAGTAGCTTATCGGTTTCATTTTCATAGGTCTAGTTAACAAAGTGGTTGAAGTTACCAGAAGACTTAATACTTTGTGTAACGCAAATGCGGAGATTTTGATTTTCTTCGCCTTCTTCAGCTGATCATCCAACCACTGAGTGGAATGAATAAGCTGAAAATTACAAATTTGTATTGGAACTTTTGGTTTTTGCCGTGTATTACTAACAGCATCACTATTATTAATGTCTTTGATCATATTTTTCCTTCCCGTTTACAGCTATACCTTACAATGTGTCTTGCCGATCAATAATTTTACAGAGAAAATCTACGTATTCCTCTGGTTTTGGTTTGCTATCCTGGGTCTACTGACAACACTGAACACATTACAATGGGCAATGAACACAATATTGCCAGTACGCCGTGTACGTTATATTAAACAATATTTAAAAGCATTACGCTTGATATCTAGTACTGAGGAACGTGATTGTGCCCGATTTGTAAATAATAATCTAGGCGCTGATGGCGTCTTCATCCTTCATGTTGTTTCAAAGATAGCAAGCGACCTGATCGCTTTGGATGTGACAGCTACATTATGGAAAAATTATCGACAGGCTAAAATTACGGGAACAGAAGAGGATGTAAATCGATTACTTGAAACTGTTAATCGTGGTTCATCTGTTGTCTAACCTTGATGTGGGCGTCGATGATGATCACTAGCGGTGGGCTAATTACATACAACAACAAACCGTCAAACTAAAAAAAATATACACATGCAAACAAAACTACATGAATCCCTATGCATTTATTTACAATCACTAGTTTTTCCATCGACGTCCACAGCTCAAAAAACCATCGAATTTCAGTTACATCTCCAGTATGTCTGTCTTTCTGGAACTTATTCCTAATATTATTATTCTCACTGAACTTATACTACTATCAACATTATGAGTAATATATATATATATCCTTATTGATTATTTTTTGTGCAGTTCAAATGGTTGGTGAGTCAGCTATACAGAGATATACTTATTCATTTGCATAAATATTCATAATGTGGACCAAATTATTCCTTACTCCACACTTCCAGCATATAAAGAATTTTAAATTTTATAGATTATATTGATTATTTCTCAGACATTCAATTTTTGTTCTTTTCCTTTTGTCTTTTCCACTCTATAATTTTACACTTTCATGTCAGAAAACCTCACTACAATTTCACTATTGAAGAGGGAGTAGTTTTAATCGTCAGTACCTGTAAGATGACTTTCAAATCTAATCGTTTAACAAAACAAAGTATAAACGATGAATTGTATGAGTCGACCACTTGTTGAAAGGACTATGTGGAAATGTTTTATAATCTTGTACACTTTTATTTTCACACAAGGATGAGAAAAAAGCAAGTTGAACAAAGAACAAATGAATGATGAGATGAAAAGAAGTACATAAATTGATGTCTGTGTAATCCTATTCCGCTTTCTTTGTTCTCCGTTTGCTCAAAATGAGTTGTGCGTTGAATTTATTGATTTTTAAATCCTTCCATTTTTTTTTTCTCTCATGTCGTTTGTTGAATTATTTGACTAAATACTTCCTGTTCATCATGATCATAATCTCTACAATCATATTCTCTTTTAACCTGTTGTTAAATTTCTAACTTCAGTGGGCCATAATTCTTATTTACCTTTTATCTTATGATGAATGCTGAATTTCAAAGTTTTTTAAGGCATGATTTCCGCACTACTTTAAAGCATCACTTTAACAATCATATGTATGGGTATGCATACTTCTTTATGTATGCATGAGATCGTGTAGTCAATCGATGATTTTCATCTTTATGAATCCTTCATGAAATTGACTTAGTGTGCATGAAAAATGATTTATTGATCAGTTCAATGAGAAAAAACAACAGGTGATATATTTCACTCTCCTTCTCTGAGTGTGCCAAATTCTGTGGGACTGTGAAAATGAAATTCCCCTTAAATAATGAAATAATAATTTCTGTGAGAAATATGGACACCACAAGCTAGTTATCCTGAATCTAAACCAAAAAACTGATTTTCAAACAATTGATTCCTTTGATATATATATATATATATATATATATATATATATATATATATATATATTCTCTTAATGTTTTTTCCTCTTTTTTAATTTAATCTGAAAATTTTCCATTTCATTTTCGAATCTTTTAGGTTTTATTCCAATAATCAAATTGTATACGATGGGTTCAATCTGTGTGTATGTGCGTATATGTGTATGCATGTGTTAAAGTGGAAGTGTAGTAGTGATATCGATTTTTTTAATGATCTGAAATGCATGAGTAGTTACTTGTGCATGTGTGTAAATGCCCACCCACCTACACACACACACACACACACATACATCACTTACACAGGCTGAACGATACTCAAGCTTTCTTAATTATTATTACTAAATGCTATCGCTACACTTAAGGTTGTGTAGGTGAATCAAATTTTCTGTGAACAATGCATCCATACCACATTACTTAATAATAAAATCAAATCAGTATGTGTAGATTTATTAAAATAAATCAACATTCCGAACCTATTTCATCACATGCACTGCATAGATGTTTGTGAAGCAGTTTATTTCCCACATTCAGAAATACAGACACACAAAACTACACAGAAATATGCATTCATTTCAATACAAGCTAAAAACTAGACAACAGTTGAAAATTAATTCAGGATATTTGAGGGACCAGTTCCTTAGTGCTACAATTTATATACATATATATATAGTGACAGTTAAGTGAGCACATGCCAAAAAAAAGCAAACTATTACTTCCAAAATAATCAATAGTTAATCAATAAGTCTATGTCGGTCTATCAGAAAACTCGTAACTTAATATAACTCAATGTATGAATCTTTTAATTAAGCCTTAAGTAAAAGTCTAAAATTTCTTTTATTTTAATTTCCGACATATTCTCATAGTTTTCAAGCATTTCAATCTCAATAATGTTTTCTCTCGTAGACGTTCTCTTATAATACAACCATGCATATATGCATACTGTGTGCAAGAATACAAGTGAATCTTGAAAATATTATCGATAAAATTACTACTTGATGTATCTCTACTCTCTTATTTCAGTGGTGGAATAACAGACAGTGAATAAGAAAAGTGGAGAAAAAGACAAAGCGACACTGGCTTTTGATTATTTCAATACAACAGATATCCTTTTTTCGTCTTCTCATCTGATCTTCATCAACATTGTTCTTTTCTTTCACCACCACCCCTTTCAACTTCTGAGTAATTCTGTAAACACACCTTGAATGTATTGTAAATTATACCAGGTGTTATTTACTTACTGAGTTACATGTGCGCTTCCTAAGTACAGACAAGGGAAGGGATGAAGTCGGCAGGGCATTAAACTATACACCTGAGGATGAGCATTCATAAGCGAACTCTGGATATATATATATATATATATATATATATATATATATATATATATATATATATATCAGTGTTCACTATTATGGTTTGATTCTCAAGTAGCATTTTTCTTTATGTAACTTTATCCAAAGGTCCACTAAGAAGACATTTGTCAGTCTGAGTCTCTTTTACCTCATTATTGTTGTTGTTGTTGTCGTGGTGACCGAGATCGTTGTCCTTTGTATTTTGAAAGTACACTTCTCACTCCTGCATTTCTCAATCCACTTCTCATTTATTTGCCTTTCCCGTATACTACGCTTTCATATTGGCTGTCAAACTCATTAACGAAACTGACAAACTGACTAGTAAATTAAGAATACTTACGAAAATATGCAAATGCGCGTGTTTTCATTTCTTTGTCAATCCTATTCAACTACTGAATTTTCTCCCTCTTAGAGGAATCTATTTAGGCTGTCTTTAAGCATATTTGTACTCATGAACTACCAGGTTGTAGGGTTGACGACCAACTTCTCACCTTGACCTTTACACCTAAACACTGACACCTGACACTGAACATGTCTGTCGATTTCTTCTGCATTAACCAATAGACGATCCAGATTTTATTCTTTTCGAACAACAACCACAAAGACAACCAAAAGTCTGGTGACTACAGAAATAAGTACCACGGAGACAGATGCAGAGAGAGAGAGAGAGAGAGAGAAGAAGGAGACAACAGTCTCTGTATGTGTATGCGTATGCCACTATTTCTGTGTATGATATTGTACAAATGTGTCTTTTTTGTTTTGTTTATTTTACTGCTCAAGATAATAATAAAAAATGATTATGACAAAAAGCTGAGTAATAGTAATGACTAAAGTATTCCACTGGTCACTGTTTTATCTTACCTATCGGTATTGTTAAAGGCATATACATGTTGGAATGTACCTTCGTGTGTGTGTATATGTGTTTCTATGTTCGAGTCAATGTTTCTGCCTGTATACAATGTTTTATAGTATAAGCCAAAACTGTCCATTATGCCAGTTGAATGCATACTCCTTCCTGAGATGTGTAATTGGTCTTGAAGGCAGGTGACCTTGAACCGATATTTTTTGACTTTTAGGCCATATCATTTTGGAGCAGATGGAGATGAGAAGGACAAAGCATAAAACTTTTGCATACTACTAACTTAGAATTCTTTCTCAGCGCACATCTTCAATTCATTTTATGACTGACGCTAAAATAACTATACTTAATGGAAGTCAGTGCTGACATCTACCGGCAGTAAGCTTTCCAACCTCAGCCTGTTTATGATGCAACACTAAAGTGGAAGACGTTCATCGAAACACTTTTATCTGCATTTTAGTGTTTCTTGGATGTCATAGACATTCATTAATATCTTACAGAGTTTACCTTACTAAAGAATCTTAAACTACAACGAAACAGCTATTCAGTTCTTATTTCTTGTATGGTTACTAGAGAGCCGATTGTAACTTTTAATAAACTGTTTCCTATCAATGCAAACATCCTACTATTTAGTCTAAGATTGTGCGAAATCAGCTGCTGACACGGCTGCACTCAACTTACTGCCTAACGTCCAGGTAAATTTATGTTTAATGAACCGTTTCTCATGTCCGCCTGTTCCTTTCATTCTTCTCACTTCTGTCCATCAGACAGCCTCAGTCTTCATCATTACTGATAATATGCCCGTCGGAAATACAATTGCATTTGGCTTAGTTCGTCTTCCTCTTCAAAGCAACTTGCTCACCCGAAATTCACCAATGATTTTATTGTCTCACCCATTATTTCCTGTTCTACTAATCAATGACTGAATTATTGAGTTTTACGCTTCATCAACTACAGTTATGGTGCATACAGATCATAGTAAACATGGAAGCTGATATCACTTCCATAATATTCCTCTTCTGTTGATTGCAATTCATTTGCCCCTTATAAGCATTCTCGAATGACTACCCTAAAATTGGCATTATTTCCGTTTGCAGTGTTACTTGACTGTTGGTTCTTAGCAGGAGGTGTAGACAGACTAAGTTGATGAATCCAACGGATATGAAACAAGCACCAAGCATTCTGCTGATGTTAATTTAAAAACTAACTTCATGGCTGAAATATAAAATAAAACCTTTCTTTGCAAGACAGATCTCAAAGACCTACTCACTTTATTTAACCTAAGTTAGCCATATAACCAGCGATATCTTATTACATATTTGTAAATGTCTTCAAGTCAATTAATTTGTGAATAATTTGGAATGCATGCTAAAGTAGGAACCTGTTAACCGTTGAACTCCGATCCAGTGGCCGATTGGTTAATACATTCACCGCGAGACCTGAGCATCCTGATTTCGATCCCTAGCGTGGTGATGCCTGCATACCGCCGAGGAGTCCCATGCTGGGGCAAAACAACCAACCAGTCTTCCTGCGTTTCCAATAGTTCACCAACCGATATCAGTCAATAATGATTACTACCTGAAACATTAAAATTTCTATTTATTTGCATCTGAATTTTTGGTGGAAGTCACGTTTCAGTGTACGTTAAAATAATTAATGAAACTTTCTATGTTTTAATTTTGATACACTTTTCGTTGAACTCTTTAATATAATCTTGTTTTATCAGGCTAATTCGAATGTCATGTGGTGATGAGTGCAGTTGAAGAAAACTTCGACCTTATGAAGAATTGCATCAGTATTTTTTATGTTATATATTCAGCATTCTACCAACTAAAATAGAAGACCCAGCTTCAGCCTAACATCAATCACAAGGAATTTCCCTTGACTGCCAGGAGTTATCACTTTTTTTTCCTTCATTATTTTTTTCACACTAACTACCAAGTCAGATCTCTCCAACCCAATCCAAGTAAGCTGGAAATAAAAAGTTGGAGCAAGTGATTTATTGCTGATTAGATTGCAATAACATGTCTACTTGTTTCGCTGTTAGTTTTGTGAGAAAAGTATGATCTTACCAACCAGTTCATACACCTATTTGTTGGATAACTATGAGGATTAGTAGTCTATGGGTTATCACCTCTTCGCTCTGTCACCGCCTGTACTTGTAGCTATTTTAGGATTTTATAACTCCTAGGTTGTAGGGGACAAGCGAGTATATGCACAACGAATATCTGATCACCTCAGCTGATACCATTTTTCTATCACAACAAAAAAGTGATATCCCAGTGTGGACTAATGGTCGTGAAGCCAGTTGGGTCTCCGTGGTTAATTGGTTTATTGAAGGATGGAGAGAAGGAAGGGTATTCTGATCAGGTGTAGTACTCCTACTCTATCTGTCCCCATCAGTCATGTTTCACATTCATTAAATGATAATAAGTGGGACTTTCTACGTGTTAAATGATGCTATGTCGTCAGTTGACATTGGAATTCAGTGAGTGGCAACACAGGTCTCTCTGTCTGCATCAATATTTCTACAGGGATCAGTCTCAGTAGACTTTAGACTTTCAGTTCACAGAAAGTGTTTACGGTCAGACAATTGACTGGTGCAAAACGAATTCATAGTGCCAGCTAGTAAATGGCAAACGTGAAGGATAACCCAAGGTTTCGGTCCCTGAAACTACCCCGTTTAGAAATGACTGTGCGATTCGCCAACTGTTCCATCTGACACAACTATGTCGAATGTTTCCCTCAAAAATAAAATCAG